ATTTTTTGTTGTTGTTACCTGCAGTCGTTCAGGTTTTCCAGTCTTCTTCCTTTCCCCTGCCACAAACACGCACACACAGAGGACATAAAAATCCACACTGAGGCCCTTAAATGAACTGTGGTGAGGAATACCCATGGTTCCCCTTATTTTGCACCTTGGGGTCAGGGTCTTTTTGGCAGAACTGTCCCATTTGGGCCAAAGACTTTGGATCTTTTCGACCTTTTAAAGAGGGAGGTGACATATCTGAACTTCATTTTAGTTTCTGTTCCTGTGTGCATCCCTGTATATCCCCATCACATGTGACACGCTTTGTCTCACACGCCATGTTATCTATGACCCGTTCTACTTTCCTGCACCCTCTTCCTCCCATCATCTTTCTGCTTTATTTAAAAAGACCCACAACACTGAGGTGCCAATGAGGTGCTCTATATTTCCCAGGAAGAGCAGGCTCCTCCTGGCACTCTGCCCCTTTGCTAACCCTGACATGCCAGCTTATGGACCTCCCAGTGCACGGCTGTAGAAGAAAGCCTTCCTCAGCTTGCTGAAACAGATCCTGAAGCTCAACTGAATGTGGGTGTGGATCTGAGGGGATTCCCTTTTTCTGTCCGGATACCTCTGGCTTTGTTGTGCTGAAAGGACTCTAGTGTGAATGAGCCACTGGCCAGCAGACCTGTGTCTCTGGGGGTACCTGCACTGCCCATGCTCTGGGTGTGAGCTTGGAAGGCTTCATTAAAAAGGTGGGGGAAGTGTATTGGTAAAGAATGCACTCTACAAAGTTCATACCAGATTTGACAGCACAAAATTTAATGCAGGCTGAAGTGGTGGAGTTTGGTTACTGGCGAAAGCCAAGGAGTTAGCAGAGCTTAGACCACCTTTGTTAAACAGGCTGCCATTGCCATTAAACCTTTGTCTAGACGAGGCCGCGGGTATGGGGTGTGCTGCTGGGCCCTGCTCCCTCCAAGCGTTAGGTTCAAAATGATTGAGCAAACCACATCCTAATGCCCTGGCGCTGCATGAAACTGGAATAACATTGGCGATATGAAAATAGTGTGTGAAAAGCCCGGACCTCCCACTGCACTATAGTAATTCCTTTCAACGTTCATTCCGCTGTCCAAAATACTCACGTGAAATCTCTCCCCGGGGTCACTTTTACTCTGCAGCACAGAGAGCAATTAGTTTTAATGGCATTAAATGGATCTCCTTATGATGCAGGGGTTACACCACCAAAGCGAAGGCGCGGGGCGACGTGTCAGACAGACCACCTGCCTCGTGGACGCCGCTTTCGCCCTTGATGTCGGCTGGCGGGGACGCCATTGCTCAGCGCCCCACAGCAGCGGGCTGTGGGGGGAAACCGGGGGAGGAAATGAGCCCACTAAATGCAGCCAGGGGGCAGGAAGGCCGCTGTACGTTCGAAGGAGGGAGACACCTATTCCCCAAGCGCCGAAGACCCATAAACCACAGGCACCACAGCTCGTTTCCACACAGCAAAGGAGGCTGAGGCGCAAGGCCGCCCGGGAGGCGCCGTGCAGGCGGAATAGGGCTGGTGGGGGACGCAGCCTGCCCGCTGCTGTGGGGTCGCGGGGCTGACAGTCGCCGCAACGATTCCCGAGGGGCTGGGTTGAAGGGTCTGGGAGGGCTGGCGGACTCGGGCAGGGAGCGGCGGTACCGACCTGCCGCCGGTAAAAGAGCAAGGGCGGCCTCAGGGGAGACTCGCCCGCAACCAAAATGGCCGCCGCCGCTTCGCGGGGCCGCTCCTTCGCGCAAGATGGCCGCCGGCACGCCCCG